AATTACAGCACTTTCACTTGTCCTAATTATGTCAGTCTTGTGCCTTAAGCTTTTCAGGATCTTAATCAGCAGAGTTCCATGCTTATGAGTGCTGGTGAAATAGACGTCTTCTTACTGATCTGTCTCAATCAGTGTAATGTGCTGCCCTTCTATCCATCCAGGGGAGAGGCCTCTTCCTGAGTCTGGTCTCTATGAACTGGCTTGTATGTGGTGTAGCACAGTCACTTGTCTAGCTTTGTCCCACACTAAATATTCGGCTTCTTCTGGGGTCTATTGGACATATTTTCTCAGAACATCAATATTTTCTAAATTCTAGCACTGTGTGGGCTATTCAAGAAAAAATGTACCAAATGATGGTTTTCCCAGTGTGTGGATGGAGTGATGGAAAACATTTCAAAGCTAAATTTCTGTTTGTTATGCAGCTGTTAAAAGTATAGGAATCTTGTTACTAAAAGATTGGCAACCCTATTGCAATATAACTTTCAGCAGAGATGTGGGCAGTCTTGCACTTAGATTTCAGGTGCCAGATCTGCAGGTCTTCCTAAGCCTCTGTCTAAACAAGAGATTGCTTAAGTGCAGTGCTTTTTTTGTAATAAAAAAAGGTGCTGAACTCACCTCTTGGACTCACACTTCTACACTAAAAAAGATTTTCAATTCACCTCCTTTCTTTGAAATAAAGTACTTATTTACCTTTTGCACATAGCCAGTCACTCTACGCACACAGCAGTAAGCACTCAGCGCGCCACCACACGACCAATCCCAAGCTGAGCAGCATCCTGAGCCGAGCAGCGCCCTCACAAGCAGCACGGACACACACGCAGCCTGCAGGCACTATTTTAATGCTTTTTGCTGCTGACCTGCTATGCCTGACAGGGCGATTCACAATCGCATGGAAACATCCGTCAGAAAAAGGTGCCGGAACGCCGTTCCGGTGCGTTCTATGACAAAAAAAGCCCTGTTTAAGTGTAATTAGGTAGCTAATTTTTTAACAGCAGTTGTAATGAGGCTGCCTGCTTCTGGACCTCAGGAAGCTTCAGTAAGAAGGTTAGCAGTAATGTTAATTTACAAGATTTATTCGGTTGCAATGTGTATATGCTACTCCACATCTACATGGATTCTGGAGCTGTGGACAATAAAAATCAAACAACCATATTAACAATTTTGTTATTTAAAATCATTACCAATTAAAACTGTTTCTGATCAGTCAAGAAAGGCTTCTTGAAATAAAGAGGTTTGCAGAGGTGCCAGAAACAACCCCATATTGGTGCCTGCCTGACCTCTAAAGACAGCAAATTCCATGAAGAGGGGGCAACCCTGCTGAAGACTCTTCTTCAGGTGGACTCCAGTTGGGCCTTCTTTCTGTGGGGAGCCAGCAAGGGCATGCCACCCAATGTCCTCAGTGATGGGCTCTGTTGATGTGGGAGGATACCCCAGGAGGTGTCCCAGTTCTGAGGAGTTTAACCTTGGCCTGGAAATGGAAGAGACAACCTGTGTGATTCCCTCAGTGAAAGAGCTGCATGCTGAAAGGGGCAGCACCTGACAACAGCTGAATTGTGGCATTCTGCACCAGCTTCGGCTTCCGGAGCAGCCTTGAGAGCAGCACCACATGGACCTCGTGGTCTGGAGGTGACTAGCCCCTGTGCCACTGCAGCCAAACTGTCCCTGCTCAGCAGAAGCCATAGCTGGTCAGCCAGCTGAAGCCAGGAACAGGCATTTGGAGCTGCAATGGGGATGGACCTATTAGCACCATCAGGCTATGAACCTGCTCTTTCAAAGGGAGCGCAAACCCATCCAGAACAGGCAATAAACCTGCCCACCCCCCGGACTCTGGAATCATTCACCCCTGGGTCTTCCATCAGGCCAGGATCCCCTTCAGTTTATTGGCTTTCATCCAGCCCATCCCTGAGTATAGGCACTTGATCCAGGACTTGTCTAGCCTTGCTTTTTTGAGATGTCATAAGGAGATAGAGCTGTGTGTCTTCAGTGTTTTGATGGCACTTGGCTCCAAATCCCAGAACAATCACTCCCAGTGGTTTCATATAGATGTTGAACAACACTGGGGGCAAGATAGTACAATTACCAAGGGTCTGAGCAATAGTCACTCAGTGTTCTCTCAAATGGACCCCACAGGTAAGACAGGAACTGTTTCCAATGCCAAGCCCACAGACTCAGCCCAGGAGAATATAATGGTCAACGGTATTAAAAGCTGATGAGAGACTGAGCAGAATTAATAGGATTGTGCTCCCCTTGCTATTCTTCTGATAAATGTCAACTTTCAAGATAACCAGTGTTGATTTAATCCCATAACCAGGTTGAAATCTGGGCTGAAATGGGTCTAGATAATCAGGCAATGCAGTGGGTGTATCTAGGACAGAGCATCCAAAAGGGTCTCCCACCTCTGCAGGAAGTGGCGCCATGTGTTCAAATCTCACCAGAAATTATTCTGTTCATTAGAATGGGGTTATTTGGGCCCACTGCTCCTAATTTTCAGGCTACTTATCTCAAGGCTGTGTCCTGCTTCATGGTTTGGACAATGGCAGACTGAGACGGCCCCATAGTAGTCACAGAGGCCGTGGAGTCCTGAGCTGGCCCTTCCAAGGCAGCCTCAGCATGGAAAGAAATGTCACCTGGGCTTCCTCTAACACCAGTCTCGAGACCACATCTGCCAGCTTGGCTGGGGAATTGCTGGGAAGCAAGGTGGGTGCACAATATCCCCCACCTGTCTCTATGGCCCAGCACCAGCTGCAAACCCTCAAGGCCTGCTCCAAGGCAGGGGAGGGGTAGTTCTTGGTGAGATGGAAGTTCTGCAAACCACAGTATTCCCCTACATCTCAGCATATGTTGGTGCTGCACCAAGGAACCCACTGGGCAGAGCTGAGTCTGGTCATCCTCACCGAGCTCACCCATCAAAGTCTCAGTAATACTTGACAGATTTGTCAGTCCATCTCTAAATGCTGGTGCAAAGCATCCAGAATAGGAGCTGCAGGCAGAATGTTACTGAGCTGGACTGAGGAGGGGACACAAGGTGCAAAAGAAGAGCATCTTCTTTATTGTTTATACTTGCACAGAAGAAGAAATTTCAGGTTTTCCAATTTCTGCAAGATGATTTTCCACATTTAAATCCTTTTGCACAACTGGTACTAAGCTGCAAACTCTTTCCTTCTTTGCATCTACATTTTGTAATCTGTAGAGAGCAGTTTAACTATATATTGAGGCTGGAGCAATGTACTTTGGTAGGGTTCCGGAGCAGGGAAGAGGACAGCTGGTCCCTGGCTTCAAGGAAGCTGTGACTGGCAACCTGCTCAAGTGGTGCATTTCTTTTTGGCTTGGCTATCCACATTTTTGCTGTGTATTAGATAACTTGGGCAAGTGCCCTGAGATTACTTGCTTGCCCTCTGTAGCTTGACCCCACTGGTGCATCTCAATGGGGAGATCTTCAGTGTTCCGTTTCTTAATGTCTGATTACTGCCTGATTTCTTGCTTGGTGTGTGCACCACACCTTGTATGCAGCACATCCATTCTGTCATTGCCGCTGCCTCTTTCAGAAGGTTGTTCTTGGCATTTTGAGAACAAGTTTACTGCTATTGCTCTTTCTTTTTCAAGATATTGTTGTGATATGAAAGATGTAGGCATGTGCAAAGTTACAAAATAGGTCTTGAATATGTGGATATTTGGGAATGGCTCAAGATGTGGATTGTCAGATTAAAGTTTTAGAATTAATTTTAAAATATGCACAAAAATGAAATACACATGAAGAAGCAATTGTCAGAACAGCAGGAGCTGTGAAAAAGAGATGGACAATATACTGCAATTGCGTAATTACTGTAAAATATTTGTTTATTGAAGTCACAGGCCACATTGCAGCAACAAAGAGGCATACACACAGCATAAAATCTTACAGCAAACCAATTGGTTTTTTAGCCCCTAAGCAACTCCTGTACTTCTGGGTTTGCGTACCATGCTCAACAACCTTCATGTGGACTTGCTGTCTTCTGCTCATGCCCAGCAGACCCTGTGTTGTTTAATCCAGTCCCTGAGTGCTGCCATCAAGACGGCCCTATCCCAGATCCCTGCCAATCTCATATTGGATGGTACTGGGACACAGAAGAGTTGGCTTACCCCAGGAGTTTCTGTGAAAGGGAGCAGGATCATGAGAGGGCAACGGCCCTTCCAGGATTCTAAACAGTTTCTTATGCTGCAAGCTAGAAGTAGAGCATAAATCAAGGCAGAAGGACACATTTGCTGTGGACTGCATGACTCACCAAAGCAAATCATATGGAATTTGGTTGGCGTGGACGTACTCTAATGCGCTGTCCCAAACCTGAAGACTGGAAATTTGCTGACAAATCATCATCTTCAGCATCTTACACCCTTCCTAAATACTGGTTCCCAAATAGGTAACCAGCCTAATATAAATATGAGTGTGTGGTGAGGTGGGGGCTTAGCTTTCCCTGTTCCACCAATTCTCCCATGGCAATCTGCCTTTCCAGACCATCTCCCTGCCACCAACTGGAAAAGGCAATGGTAAGAAAAAGCCAAACAAACAAACAAGTCTAAGACAGGAGAATTAGAAAGAATCAGCAGGCAGGGATGATCTGTGTGTTCTGTGTATGTTCTGTGTAACGTACATAGTTCGTCATTTGTGTAAGCTATTATAGCTTTTTATATCTGTTTTAAATTTGGCTGTTATTTTTTCAGTAATTTTTATTATATTTTTATTGTTGCTTCTATTGTATTTTATATGATGAAAATATCCCAGAGAACTGTAGCTAGTAGAAGGCATAGAAATAATAAGTAATTGAACTTCCAGTGGACCCAGAAACTCAGCATGGCACAGAAGCTGTGGAGCAGGGTATGAGTAACTTCTGCTCCTCTCTATATATGGATGAGGCTAGTTAACATCTATTATAATCTGAAATTCTAGTTGTGCTTAGACAGTAGCAGGAAGTTACCACCTCTTTTGCAAATACTGATCAGAGTTTAACTGTCTCCTTCAACAGATGGCAAGAATTATCTGAGGTTGCAGAGCAGTGCAAGAAGAGAAAAACAGCATGCCCGGCTTGTCAGCCCCACAGTCTTTTTGCCCAGAAGTGTTGTGTGCATGATATTCCAGTACCAGGTGTCTGGTGGGAGTGGAACAATGCTGCAGGTGCGACGGGAAGCAGCACATGAGAACAAGCCGCTGTGGATCATCAGGGAGGACCAAGGGGATGAGTGGAGAGAAGGCAGGATTCTTCTGCCTAGCTTTGATCTAGAGTATCAGGTGAGCTTATTAAGGTTTGAGATTCAAGTGGATTTCAGCTGTACTCGCTTCAAATATTTCAACAGACCTTGTTTCATTCATCATTAGAGAACATTGTTGAGCAGGGTTTTTTTCTTCTTCATTGTATTTTCCATGTTGCCATAGTAACTAAATGACACTGTATTTGTTATTCAGAATTTGCCTATTTTATACATAGATTTAGGTCTTTGTTCATATTGCTGCCTTTTATATTCCTAAAGTATCTCCTTTGCAGGCACAAAAAATTCCTCCCATTTTCCCTTAGATGATTGTCAGGTAGTCTGTCAAGGAGTGGTAACCCCCTTAAAGGATAAATACAAGTGCATCTTGCACCCAGGCAGAGAGCACAGGAGCTTGTCTAGGATTTTGCCTTTGTTTTTTGTTCTAAGAGCGCAAACTATTCTGGTGGCAAGATGGAAGCAATTAGCACTTTCTCAGCATTGAGGGTGGGGCTCTGTGAAGTAGCTCCCTGTGCGGATTTGGTCCTCTCAAGCACCTTAGACAGCAGCTGAATGCTGCCTACTGGTAATTTAGGAAAGAGGATTTGAAGCACATCCTGTCCTTATGCCTCTGCACAGGCAGGAGTTTATTCAAAATCCAATGTAGAAATGGAATCCCAGAGATGATTTCAACTTTTCTTCAGAAAGTAAATGTGTAGCTGTCATGGTGGGTGAAATATTTGTGGCCCTAACTACACCCCCAAATACATCTGTTTTATAGTATGGTAACCTTCATGGCTCTCATGTCCAAAGATTCCAGGAGATTGTAGTTTGGTCAGGTGCTGTGAATTCTCCATTAGTGATGCCTAGCCCCATGTTCCTAGCAGCACAGTTTCTAGGGTTTCCTGAGAAGAAGGGATGACTATTAGGTCAGAAAACATACAGAAAATATCCACATAATTCTGGGGTGAGAACCAACTGTGCCATGTGTGGTGGCTGTCTCTGCCACATTTTATTATTTATTTATTTGTTAAAACATTTTTATGCCGCCCCATTCGCCGAAGCCTCGGGGTGGCTTACAACAATAAATAAAACCAATAAGTTAAAATATACATATAGATAATCATTATAATTTAAAACACACAATATAAAATAAGCCGCCCTGGCCAGATAAAATTCAGTGGTATTAACATTTAAAATGTTGCTTAAATAAAAAGGTCTTCGCCTGGCGCCGAAAAACAAATAACGACGGTGCCAGGCGGACCTCTCTGGGGAGCGCATTCCATAACTTAGGCGCCACCGCTGAGAAAGCCCTCCTTCGAGTAGCCACCCTCCTAATTTCTCTCACGGGGGGGGGGGGGG